TTTGGAGATCTTGGTTATTTGCATGTCAGCTGGCATTCTTTGTTATAAGTACCAAATTCTACTGGAGTCAGCTGAAAATAGATTATAAGGATGTAGGGGATCACAAAGTCCCAAGGCAGATGATCTCAGGATGTGACTGGAACCAGGGAGCCTGTTGGTCTTCCTGCTTTTCTCTGAGTATCTACCTCATTTTTCTCTTTATTTCCCAATCCTCATGACAAAATTCCCCTGAGACACATAGCTCCCAAATTTACCCCTCAATTCATAATATTAGCCAAGTTTAACAAGAATCTTTGAGTCTCAATTCCAAGTTCAAAGAGAAAGACCCTGATTGGCCAACCAACAAGTAACCTCCCTACTCCTCAGCCAATCAACAACAGCCAGAAGCTGGGGTTTCTGAAGAAGATGTCAGTTCTATGGCAACCAAGGGGATGGGTCAGGGTGAGACACACAGGTGCAGAAAGACAGGATGAGACATACAAGTCCAGAAAGGCAGATACACTGGGCAGACAGAGCACTGGTGACATAGGTAGGGAGTGGAAAGGTGGGATTTAGAAATGGATCTGTCCAAATGCAATGCCAGGGCTCTTTCCACATGCTGTTCCTCACAGATGATATCTGCTTGTTTGTAATGTATTCATCCATCACTTACTGCAGCAGACTGAGGGCTGAGTTCTGAAGTTCCTCCCGCTGTGAACCACAGTTAGGGGGTCTATACAGGCTGTTGACAGATCACCATCATGTCACCTCCAGCTTCTGCTTGAACACTTCCAGGAATGGGGAACTCATTACATCAAAAGAAAGTCAAATCCATTATTGGTCAACTCCAGTTAGGAAGACGATCTCCAGGGTTTAGAGAGGAGCTCTGAGGTTTAGCAGGTCCAAACCCTCACATTCTTCAGGCAAATAAATGACTCGGTCTTCAGGATGTGACCTACAAAGGCGGCAGCTTAAACACAGTAAGAATTCTGTTCCCTTCTTCCTGTGCAAGAAGTGCAGGAGTAGTCAGGGAATGACTGGTAGACTCTCCCCGGGAGAGGGAGCCAGGCCTCTTCCATCCAATTTCTCCAACATGTTTGGTTCCACTTCCAAGGATCCACCATGGTGCAGGGTGGCCACTGGTAGCAACTTTTATGCCCATGTTCTGGCCAAAGGGGAGAAGGCATACCAATCCCCTACCGGCATCTCAGCCAAGTTGCAAGCATCACTTTCATTTATTGCACGTTCACCAGAAGGTACTCATACGGTTGCCTGGAGCTACAAGGGAGAGTGGGAGCACGGTGTTGACTCAGGGCAACTCTATGTACAACAGCAAAATAAGAGTTTCTGAGCCCTGGGGACCAGAGGTCTCTCCTGTAGGAGTCCTTCCTTGTAGCTGCCTCCCATTCATCTCCTCTATTGGAAATGATGCTCTCTGAAGTCACTTAGCACAAAGCCATGCCCTTTTTCACCCAACAGCTGACGCCAACTCACACCAGATCACAAGAGCCATTTGTTAATATTTGGAAGAATTCTTCAAACCAGTTGTTCAACATTGCCACTACTAAGAATTATTATATATAAACTTACAATTAAATAAGCTACATGGAAAAACAAAGGTAATCAACACACACTCATAATACAATGCATAAGCTCCTGCGGCAACGCAGGCCAACCAGGTCTTCCTGGGGCAGGTGCTACGCACTGCCGCACGTCACCCTGCCGGACATCATGCCGCAGCTCCAAGCTGCACAGCAGGGAGGGGAGTTACAAGCACTCCAGGCTCAGGTCAGTGCTCTGTTGATTGCTAGACCAGGACTCAGCACACGGTGGCCAACAGGAGACTTTTGAATGTTGACCCAAGAGTGATTTTTGGTTTTTAAAAATGTTACAAAAATAGAACAAATGGGAACCTGCCGGCGAGACCCCAGGAAGCTCTCAAAGCCTAAGTGGTTAGCATCTGGCCCTTTACAGAAAGAGCGCGCGGCCCGGACATTAGAGAGAGATGGGGAAAATGTCAACGGTGCACGTCCTCTCACGTCAGGCCTCAGCTGCCACATCATAGCACGCACACGTTTGAGAGAATGTTTTTCAAGCATTTGAAGACTATGATCAAATGCACAAAAAAATCACTCACGTCTTTGACAAACAGGTGAAATTGCAGAATATGTGGGGCTGACGCTGAAAGAGGTTTATTAATGACTATAATTTGATGTTTGGGAAGCAGCTCTAATGTAAATCATATATCAGATTTAATGACAGCAGATTTAGGGAAAAGGAGCAGATTAGGATACAATTCTATTTGTCAAAATATGGTTAAATCACAACCATCAGCTACAGATACGAGTTTGGGGTTAAAAAAAAAAAAACAGTGAAAGTGGGAAGGCAAATATTTGGCACAGCGGTTAAGATGCCACTTGGGACACTTGCAGGCCACAGCAGAGTGCCCGCACTCCAGCCCTGGCTCTGCTCCCAGTTCCAGCTTCCTGCTGATGCACACCCAGGGAGGCGGCAGGCGACGGCTCAGGTGGTTGGGTCCCTGCCCTGCCACCCATGTAGGAGGCCAGGACTGAGTTCCCCGCTCCCAGAGGCCTGGCCCAGCCCCAGCTATTGCAGGTTTTTGGGGAGTGAACCAACACATAGAAGATCTCTGTCTCTCTCTCTTTCAAATAAATTAACTATTTAAAAAACAACAGCAGGGGCCAGTGCTGTGGCAAGGTGTATAAAGCCACCACCTACAGCGCCGGCATCCCATCTGAGCACCAGTTCCAGTCCCAGCTGCTCCACTTCTGATCCAGCTCCTTGCTAATGCACCTAGAAAAACAGCGCAATTTTGCCCAAGTTCTTGGGCCCCTGCACCCACATGGACGCCCAGGTGAAGATCTTGGCCCTGCCTTGTAGCTATCTGGGGGGTGAACCAGAGGACGAAAGACCCCCCCCCCGCCTTTGCCTCTCCCTCTCTGTAACTCTGAGCTTCAAATAAAATAAATAAATCTTTAAAAAAACAACAACAGTGAAAGTTTGTGAATCAATTGGATATATAGAATATACAATAAAAGAGTAATGTATATCTTATTATCTTAGGATTGTTGTTTCAAATCTGTAATAAACGCGTGTGTGCATAAGTCTCCCTTTTTGGAGAGCCAGTTGTTAAAACTTTGCCGGACAGTTCTTCAGGATCAGCGAACAGGCGGGCAGCTCCCAAGCCTTAGAGGCCCGGCTTGCCTGTGTCTGCAGACAGCCAGGCCCTCCATCTGTGGACCTGGCCTCCACTTGCTCTTTTTCTGGAACCCTCACCTTCCAGAATCCAGACCTCCGGTGTCTTTGCTTGCACATCGTCCATCTCTGCCTCTTTGCGTCATTTTTCTGGTTAGTTCCTCAGCTTTAGCTCCTAACTCCTCAATCGAATTTTTCATTTGTGCTCTCAAATATGTAACACCCAAGAGTTTCTTCTTCTTGACCTGTTAAGGCATCCTCTTCTGTAACAGAAGTAAAAGCTTCTCTTGGTTCACTAAAGATATTAGCGAGAGCAGACTGGATTTTTAAAAACATCCTCTCCCTCCTTCATCTCTGCTTCTGCCAAGTAACTTTTTAAAAAATGAAGTACAGCCGGCGCCGCGGCTCACTAGGCTAATCCTCCGCCTAGCGGCGCTGGCACACCGGGTTCTAGTCCCGGTTGGGGCGCCGGATTCTGTCCCGGTTGCCCCTCTTCCAGGCCAGCCCTCTGCTGTGGCCAGGGAGTGCAGTGGAGGATGGCCCAGGTGCTTGGGCCCTGCACCCCATGGGAGACCAGGAGAAGTACCTGGCTCCTGCCATCGGATCAGCGCGGCGCGCCGGCCGCGGCGGCCATTGGAGGGTGAACCAACGGCAAAGGAAGACCTTTCTCTCTGTCTCTCACTGTCCACTCTGCCTGTCTCATCTGCCTGTCGAAACAAAAGCTAAAATCAAACCAACCAGTACAGAGATACAAATAGACAGAAAAAGAGGGAGCTCCATCCTCTGGCTCACTCCCCAAATGCCAGATACGGCTGGTGTTGGATGAGGCCAAGGCCCAGAATTCAATCCAGGTCCCCCACGTGGATGTCGGGAACCTAACTGAGCCTTCACCGCTGCTTCCCAGGGCCCGCCGGAAGCTGCAGGCAGGAGTCAGGGCCGGGGCTCAGACTCAGGCACGCCGCTGTGAGACACGGACGGACGGCTTCCCTGCTCGGCTGAACGCCCTGCCCCCTAAGTAGCTTTTCTCGGCTTGATTGGTATTTTGGTTTTGTTTCTGTCTGTTCTATGAAGCTCTCCTTGGCTGATTATTTTTTGCTTTTTGCCAAGTCTCCTCGAACAAATGACTGATTCTTCCTGTCCTGGAGCACAGACAGTGCCGGATGAGGCCAGAACATCTTCGTGGCAGAAAGTGCCCGGAGGGTGCTGGAGACACTAAGCCGTCACATTGGCAAGGCCGCCCCATCGGCAAGGCCGTCCCATCAGGCTGAGCGTCCGTGGGCCCGCAGGCTTCAGCAGAATAAATGAGCCAGCTTGCAGAAGCTCCCAATGGACAAACCTGGGAAAATAAAAAATACGGCAAATTGAGCACGAAAATATATATCAATATGAAGAAACTGAGCCTAAAAGGTATGTCAATAATAACAGACTATAACTCATGGCTTGAATATGGTCCATAGGTCTACACTGGTACAAATTGAATGAAAATTCTTCACAGTAAAAAAGAAAACAACTAATAAACTGGAAGGAACGGAGAAATTAGCAACTCACACCAGATAACATCACGATAACAACCGATTCAAACAGGAATCACCAATGCCCAAGTGGTGAGTGGCAGATACTTATTAATTACAAAATAAAAGCAGTGACTTTACACTGCGGAAAGCTGACAGCTCCCTAGAAGCGTGATTAGAGCTAACGACACCAGTAATGCGGAAGTGGACTCCTGGTGCCTCCTGAGTGGGTTGCTGACAAGAACACAGCGGCATTCCTGCGGGTCCTGCCGCTGGCCCACGACCTCACCGTAACCAGTAGGGGGCACCAGCGACACCCTGCAGGGACCCTGTCAATCAACATGCAGGCATTGAGGAGCTGCTTCGAGGGAAAAGAGCCTAGCAAGACAGGACAACTCAGTGGAGTCCGGGACCGGCCTCTTCTGCCGAGAAGGGCGTTACTGGACAGTTAGAAAAGCCCGCATTGAGTCTGCAGGTCAGTAACAGCGCTGAGTCACTGTTGGTTTCAGTGCTAAAAAGAATTTCCTTTGTTCTACGAAACATTAAATTATTTGGGAGTAAAGGGGCATCATCATAAAAAGCGCATAGCCAGATTTTAAAGGGAACATTGTGATTTTACTCTAAGTCTGATGTTATTAGAAGCGGAAACAGTTGTTTTAAAGGAAAAGGTTAAAGGTGATTGAGAGCCCCGTGCATGAGGGTCTGGCTGCTGTCAGCCGCTGCGGACTGGATCATTTCGGAGGGTGTCCCGCCCCCGTCAGCACCGGGGTCATCTTCCAGTCTCCTGCCCAGAGGTGTCTGCCTGGTCCTCAGGTACCGGGTGCCCACTGAGGCGGGGGAGGGTGTGTGTGCTGGGCGCGGAGGCTGTGAACACTCGCTTCATCGCCTGTTTTCAGTGCAGCGCTCCCGCCCTCTAGCGCCCCCTGCTGGAGGCCGCAGACCCTCTGTTTATCCTCGGTGAATAAGCGCCGCCTCCTCCCGTTTTGCGGGAGATGCCATCTGGCCCCTAGAAGGGCCTGCGCCTTTCGGGGGTCCCCAGAGGAAATCCATTTGCTTGGGGTGTCAGATGGAGCTTTCTGAGGTCTGCTGAGTCTGTGTTGCCTTCTCTCCAGCTCCCAACACGCAGTAATGACGTATGATCTGCTTGAAATTTGTCGAGAGGAAATCTTAATATTCCCACCACCAAAAAATTCAAAGTAAGTGTGTGACGGGATGGATAGGTTAGTTACCTTGATTGTGGTAATCATTTCGCAATGTATACAGACAAGGGTACCCAATAGCTCATGGAGTGTACCTGGGAGGCAGCAGGTAACAGCCCAAGCACTTGGGTCCCTGCCACCCAGGTGGATTTAGATTGTGTTCTGGGCTCTGCCTTTGGCTGGCTCAGTCCTGGCTGTTGCAGGCATTTTGGGGGTAAACCAGTGGGTGGAAGACCTCACTCTCCCTCTGTCAATCTCGTTGTCTTCCTCTCTCTGCCTTTTAAAATAAAGATTTTTTTAAATTTAAAAATGTCATGGAAAATGAAATTAAAAGATGAGTTTATTTGAATGTAAAAAAATTAAAATCCATGTATGAGAAGTCTTTAAAATGATCATTAAAATGTACATTGTGAAAAAACATGCATGGATTTCAAATAACAAACTTCAAAATACCACGTTGTACATCTTAAATATATACAATTATATTTGTCAATTATACCTCAAAAAAAAAAACAGAGAAAAAATATAATGTTGCTCCTACCATCTCCTCTGCTGTTCTCCTTGTCTTGTGGCTTTAAATATTTTAATAAGAGCTCGTCACTGTCTTTTTAGTGGTTTCAGGGGAAGGCACATATGTCTTTGTCACGCTTAGCTGGAAGTCTTCTGATGTGTTGCCCAATCTTTCCACAGCGACCCCGCACTACTTGTGCAATTTTAAAATACACTTGGGCACATAAAAGATTTAGACATTGAGGGGCCGTCGCCGTGGCGCAGCAAGTTAATGCCCTGGCCTGAAGCCTCAGCATTCCATATGGGCACTGATTCGAGACTCAGATGCTCCACTTTCAATCCAGCTCTCTGCTTTGGCCTGAGAAAGCAGTGGAAGATGGCCCAAGTCCTTGGGTCCCTGCACCTGCGTGGGAGACCCAGAAGAAGCTCCTGGCTCCTGGCTCCTGGCTCCTGGCTCCTGGCTTCGAATCCGTGCAGCTGCAGCCACTGAAGACAATTGGGGCATGGACCAGCAGATGGAAGACCTCTCTCTCTGCCCCTCCTTTCTCTGTGTAACTCTGACTTTCAAATAAATAAATAAATCTTTAAATAAAAAAAAATTAGGCATTGTGAAGCCATATAAAACAATTTAGGAGGAGGATGTTCAGCAGGCTGTGGGAAGAGGCGGTGATGTAAGAAAAATAACTGAAGGCAGCTTGGGTTCAGTCCCAGGGCGGTATCTCCCTGACAGTGCAACAACGGGGTGCACCTGCCCTGCGCGTGCAGCAGCTTCCAGGGCTGCGGGAAAAGCGCGTGCAGGGCCAGCCGCGCCACGTTTGTGGACTCCAGAGGCAAAAGCGGCTCCTGACGGGGCCAAAGTCGCCTTTGGGCCTGAGGCTGAGGCAGGAGCTGGACAACTCCCAGGGACAAGGCAGAACTGAGGCTACAGCCAGGCCATTGAGAACAAGAACAATCATAATGAAACCCGGGGAGTGGATCAGGTCAAACATCCGATGCCGAAACCCTAGGGCGGCCGCACGGATGCAGAAGACGCCCCACTCCCGGGTCCACCGGAGCTCACGTCCAGGGCCTGTCCAGGTAAGTGCGCTGGGCCGGGAGGAACGCGGAGCCGCCTGTTCACGGTGGGCCACACGGGGGCAGCAGAAGACCGGCGGAGAAAACCGAGGGTCCTGGAGACGCGGGTGCGAGGGCAGGAGACCCAGAGAGGGAGGGAGAACACAGGCGCGCGCCGCAGGGCGCAAGCTCTGAAGAGGCAGGGCACAGCCGACACGCGGTGTGGCCGCGGCAGGAGGCCCGCGCTCCGGAGGGTGCTGAGGGTGAGAGGGCACGCAGTGGGCGGTCGTGTCACAGATCAGGCACCAGCTGGTTCGCTGGCCAGGCCATTTAACGTCCCTGTGCCTTGTGCGCTACCTGGAAGAGCGCGTGGGACAAGGCTAAGGCGCCTCGCCCGTCCGCCGTGCTGGTGACGGGGCACTCTCCGTCTCCTCTTCCCCTTGAAGGAGAGCCCTGGGATTCCAGGGCTGCTGAAAAATCCCCCCCCCCATTTTATAGACGGAGAAACTGAGGCCCAGAATACTGTATGACAGGATCTGTAAACCAGGTCGTTCGAGCCTTGCTTCCCCACTCCTCTGCCCCGGCGAGGAATGGAAAGCGGCCCCGCCCCACACCTGGGTGCTGAGTGTAGCCCCCCTGCCGCCCTAGGCTCCCGCACGTCGCAAGCAGGGAGGGAACACAGGAGCTGGACAGGCGGTGGGAGGGCTGCCCGCGCGCTCCCGGCCCTGCAGGGGACAAGGGGAGAAGTGTCCTGGTGCTACTTCTGCCTTGCACCCCCAATTTCTGGCCTGCTGGAGACAAGTGGCACCAGGAGAGACAGCACACGGCGGAGGAGGAGGGCTGCACCTGCTCAGCGTTTGCGGCTGAAGCCCTGGGAAGGCTGTGCAACCTTTCTCTCCCGCCCTTCAGCTGCAAGCCCGGGAGACCTGTGACCCTGCCTTCCTCACAGGCCTGGGGGAGAATGACAGGAGGTCCTGGATGCCACGGGGCAGCCCCGCCCCGAGGCTGTGCCCAGTGCACCGTGGTGTCACCGTCTGTAAAGGCGGAGCGCAGTGCTGTGGCCGGGTTTTTTCACGGGCTGAGCGCTCTCCCAGGGCCTCACTCCCTCGGCTCGGCCGCCTACATCAGATGGAGCGCCCTGCTGGGCAGGGTGGACGCCCCACCACCACCACCACCGGGAGATGCACACGCAGTAGAGCGTCCTTCCCCCAGCAACAGTGAGTGGAAACAGAGCCCCTGGCGCATCTCAGCGCAGACCCCCAGAATATGTGTGTGTGAAGCAGGGCAAGCTTTGGCCAGTAGTCCCTCAAGGAGTCCAGGATTATTAGCCCCTGGGGGCCCACCGATGGCCCAGTAGTTGTGTGCGCGCGCGCGCCCCTTGGCCTTTCCTCTCTCAGCGGCTGACCCTACGCCTGATACACAGAGTCAACCACAGAACGAATGACACCCCAGCCTTCCCCTTACGCGGCAGAATCCTCCGCCAACCACCCCCACCCCAACACGCCCTCCGCTCTTGGCATCTTCCCCAGCTGCTAAACCTGCCCCCCCCCCCAAGGGCAGACCTCTCCTCTGGCTTCCATCCCCACCCCCACCCCCGCCTCCTCAGCTTTCTCAGCGGCTCAGAAGAAGCATGGTGAAATGTCCAAACGGAATGCCAGGCAAGCTGCTCTCTGCTTGCCAGGGCGACACTCCGTGGGGACCCCTGTGCTCCTTCCACACCAGGCTCCGGGCTTTCCCCCTGCCTCTCTTTCCACATGCCCCTCCTCACCTGCACAGACGAAATCCTGAGCCCAGCCCCGCAGGCCCGGCCCCCTGCATCCACACCAACCGTCCCACGAGGACCCTCAAGTCAGAGCCCAGGCTGGAGCTCCCTGCCCTGGACGCAACCCCTCCACGCCGCAGTCAGCTGCAGCGCCGCCAGGAGCTGCTCTCAGCACCACGGCGGCCACCCTGTCCAGCACAGGCCGCCTGCCTGCAGTCAGTCCCAGAGGATGCTTTTGCCTCCTCTGGGAAGTCTTCCCCCCTTGCCCCAGGCACCATGAGGGGCTTTCTCCACGTCCTGTTATTTAAGGAGTGAACGCACAACACCAGGACCAAAGTCAGCCTTCAGCCCTGTGGTGGTCTCTCCTTGCTGGGGGCCCCCAGGCTTTTAAGAATAAGACACCAGGCCAGTGCTGTGGGGTAGTGGGTGAAGCCACTGCCTGCCGTGCCCACATCCCATATGGGTGCCGGTTCAAGTTCCTGCTGCTCCACTTCTGATCCAGCTCTCTGCTATGGCCTGGGAAAGCAGTCGAGGATGACCCAGGTCATTGGGCCTCTGCACCTGCATGGGAGACCCAGGAGAAACTCTTGGCTCCTGGCTTCAGATGGGAGCAGCTCCAGCCATTGGGGCCAATTAGGGGGTGAACCAGCAGATGGAAGACCTCTCTCTCTGCCTCTCCTTCTCTCTGTGTAACTCTGACTTTCAAATAAATAAATAAATCTTAAGAGAGAGAGAGAGAGGGAGAGAGAGACCACCCACAGTGTTAGAGAAGTACCACAAACCTGACGGTTTCAAACGATGAGAAGTCTTCATCTCCCAGTTCTGAAATCCAGGTGCCAGTGCCTCGGGTTTCTGGTGAGGCTCTGGGAAGAGTGTCCTTGCCCTGTCCAGCCCCTGGTGCCAGCTGCAGTGCCTGGGTCCCTCCACCAGTGACAGCACAGCCCCAGCCCTGCCTCTGTCTCCCCCACCCCTCCTCCCTCTGTGCCTCTGTTTTGTTTGCTCTTCTGGGGATGCCCAGGCCCCATGCCCTCCCTCGTTCCTGGGACCAACTCTGAAAAGAACCTGTTTCCAAATGAGATCACAGCCTGAGGTTCTCAGTGGACACGAACTGTTGGAGAGACAAAGCAGGAGAGTTTCAATATTGATTCATTTATTATCTGAAAGGCAGAGAGAGCGAGCACTCCCCTCAGCTGATGCACTTCCCAAATGCCCGGAGCCAAGCCAGGAGCCTGGAACTCCATCCAGGTCTCCCACTTTGTGGCTGGAGCCATCACCTGCTGCCTCCCCGCGTGCGCATTAGCAGGACACTGGAATCGGAAGCGGAGCCATCCTGGAGCTGTAGGATGAGGCTCCAGCTGCCCCAGTGCACCTCGCTGCAGAAACATGAGCTCTGTTTTCTGCTTTCACCGCCCTCCTGCGGAAGCACTTTTGGGACCACCTCCCAGAGGAGCTGTTGGCACACAAGCCTTCTTCCCAGGATGGAAAAAAACAGATCTGGGCACAGAAACAAGGCCTGTTGGCCTCACTGCAGTCCCACCCATGGCACACAACGCCATGACTGAGCACAGCACAGCACAGCGGAGCTCCACGTCGGACCAGGGCTGGGCTAGGGGCAGGGCTATGGTGATGAGGAGGCTGCTATATTCCCTGCCTTCCTGTAGGCTCTACTCCAGGCAAGACTGGCTTTCAAGAAAACAGAGGCTGCTGCCCACTGGGGAAAAAAAAATCCACCCAGGAATGTTAAAAAGTGGGGATAAGCACAAGTTACCCCAGAGCCAGAGCTAAAACAAGTGAGCTGGTCTTCCTTTGACCTGGCAAATACCCACCAAGCACTGATTCAAGCTATCCTGGGCAGGGCGTGAACATGTAAGCAGTAAAAGAGAATACCCTGAGGTCAGTGTTCAGTAGAGAGCACAGCAAATGTGGCAGCACCAAAGAGGGTTCAATTCCTCCTGGCAGGCTGGGAGGACTTCCTGGAGTAGGTGTCACCTGAGCTGGGTCTTGAAGGACAAGAAGGCATTTGCAGCCAGCGCCGCAGATCAATAGGCTAATCCTCCGCCTTGCGGCACCGGCACACCGGGTTCTAGTCCCGGTCGGGGTGCCGGATTCTGTCCCGGTTGCCCCTCTTCCAGGCCAGCTCTCTGCTGTGGCCAGGGAGTGCAGTGGAGGATGGCCCAAGTGCTTGGGCCCTGCACCCCATGGGAGACCAGGAGAAGTACCTGGCTCCCGCCTTCAGATCAGCGCGGTGCGCCGGCCGCAGCGCACCAGCTGCAGCGGCCATTGGAGGGCGAACCAATGGCAAAAGGAAGACCTTTCTCTCTGTCTCTCTCTCTCACTGTCCACTCTGCCTGTCAAAAAAAAAAAAAAAGGCATTTGCAAGACGCAGAAAGGGGAAATATTCTAAGTAAAGGAACCTCCACATGGAAAGGCAGGCAGGCATCAAATTGGGTCTGTTCGGGAACTCCGCATGGTTTGGGGTGGCAGGGTCAGAGGAGAGGGTGCAGAGGGAGGAGAAGCAGGCAGGGGCAGGTTTGTGAGAGAGCTCCTGTGTAGCCTGAGGTCTTCAGACCTCCGAAGACTCGGTGTGCTCCTCGGCGGGGTGAGCCCTGTGAGGGTGTTGTGAAGACGGACGCACCAGCACAGGGGAAGATCTCTGTAGACGTGGGCATCCTGCAGCCCCGGGACCGGTGCAGAACTGCACAGAGACGTGGATTTTCAACGGCACAATGGCAAGGGGTCAGCTGGGAGGCTGCTGTGGTCAGGAGGAGGCGTGAGTGGCTGTGGCCCGAGTCTGCTTGGCCCACTGCAGAAGTCACCTGCCCCATTTCCAAACACGCCCCCAGCTTCTCGGCTCCCTCTGAGAACTTCTGGGGATGTCCGGGGCTCCTCAGCCAGGTGCAGGGCAGGCCACAGGTGCCGAGGTAGCCATGCCCCAGGACGGCCCCAGCACACTGGGGAAGCTGTCCCAGTGGGGCGACTGAGGAGTGGTCCGCACAGCCTCCCGGAGGGTCCCCGAGACCGAGCCAGGCGCCCCAGGGCTCTCAATTTCAGCCCAGCCCCTCCCCAGCTACTGTGGGCGTTTGGGGAATAAACTAGAGAATGGGAATGCACTCTGTCTCTCTTGCACTTAAATAAAATTACTGTGCCAAAATAGTTATGACATTTCTACCTAAATTACTGTAGGTCATTGATATCTCACAGCTTTAACAAACCATTCTAGCAACCTGTTAATACTGGCTCTGAGTGTCCTGTCAGGCTGGGCTGAAATCGAGAGCCAGAAACTCAACCCAGGTCTCCCTCTGGGTGGCAGGGACCAACTACCCAAACCATCACCACTGCCTCCCAGGCTGCACATCAGTAG